GGGGGGGCGGGGCGGGGGGGGGGGGACCTGCCGCCCCGACGGCTTCGCCCGCTTTGCGTCGGGAGGGCTGCTCGGTTGCCCTGGGGCGGCGGTACTACTCCTTACCGATTTATGTATGTATTTAACCGCCTCTGTAAGAACTACGGGTTTTAAAGGATTTGGAGGGAGGCCGAGCTGCGTGCCGTCGTGCCCTGCCCTCGGCGCACGGTGCCCTGCCGTCCCCCCGGCCTGCCGCCTGCACCTCCTGTTGATCAAACAAGGTGCAGCTTTGACCCCAGGGCTGCGGCCCGAACAGCGTTTTTGGCCCAAAAAACGCCTTTTGGCCCAGCCTTTGCGTTTTCGTTTAATAATTCTAAATTAAATTTAGAATTCGCAGGTCTGGGTAAGGGGGTTAAGAAAGAAGTAGGGCTGTTCGTGTGTCAGTAACTAGGTTTCAGGTTTAACCGAGCCACCTGGCCGCCAAAAGTCCTCAGAACAATAATATAAGTCCGTTCTTTAGTGTACTGTCTTACCAGTTATATAAATGTTTAAGTGAGTCTTCTGGAAGCTTAGCTCATAGTCTGCCCATGTCAGATCATCTGACCCTTAAGGAAAGAAATATTTATTAATATCTTAAAAGTTGCTTTTTTGTTACATGTTTTCTCTTAAGTTGTTTGGCCCATTTATTCTTAAAAGATACGGCTCTGCAGCTAGTGGACCTTAAGGAGTGTTTAGGGTTAGATTAAGTAAAATGCAGGAATGAAGTGTGTGTGTGTGGTTTTTTTTTCGGTTAGGTGATTAAAAACAAAACAAAGCCAAAAATGAAAGCAATTGCTAGTGCATTTGGCCTAAATGCAGGGGCACAACTCTGTCAGTGTTTGAAAGGTAGACCTCTGGGTCGTGCGGTGCTGGGTTTTAAGCTTCCCTATAAATATCCATATTTCCATATGTATGCCCTAATATTCAGTTGAGCTTTAATGAAGCAGTGGTATCGTAGAGAAGGAGGTTAAAAATGTATAGGGGATAGTGCTTCTGTAGCAGCTACATGCTGAGTGCATCATGAAGCAATGGACGGTGTATCTTGCTTTGCTTTGACAATTTGGGAGTGGCAGCGGTTAGCTCTGGAAAAAACACGTGCAGCAGGGTTAGGTCAGAGAAGATGTACAATACAAGAGAGTTTGAGGGTTGTAGGAGCAAAGCAAGAAAGAACTCGAGGCTTAAGGTAGCTTAAAACTTTAGTGTTGTTGATAACTGCTCTATGAAGTGTAGCTAAACCTTATACTACCAGGCACCTGTTATGCTGTTGTCGTTTATATCCATTGATGGTTATAAGGTTTGAAGCTTGAAAGTTAAACCTTCAAATCTTGTTTCCTATCATGGTGTGTGTGGGTGTTTCTTTTTTTTTTTTTCCTTTTATTTCTGGAATTGTGATATTTGGATTAGTTGTGCAAGGTGAACGTTTAGTAAGAAAAAAGATCCATGCTGCTAACGCAAGCAGCTAAAAAAAAGCTGTTACAACCCTGCAACTGTAATCACTGTAATCTTCATTTTGCTCCCCCTAAACTTGCTTTGTTTTAATACGTAGATTGGTTATTGGTTTATTTCTCTTTATTGGTCATAGCACTGGTATACATACATACCTCTGAATATATTTGTTATTTAAATGAATTTTAATAACTTTGAATAGAAAGCAATATTAGGCATAGAATATGAAATGCTTGATATTTGTCAGGTATCTAATATTTTCTTAATTATGTGAAGTTCGTGCTGCTCTGGAAGCTGTGTGCTTCAGTAATTATGATAACACTTGTAGCGT